GAGTCCACTTATCAGTAAAATACAGAATGTTCAAAAGATTCAAACTTTCTCTTTAGATGCTATTTCTTGGTCTTGAAGATTAGCTTCTGTTCAAGTTTCATAACAATCCATGAAGGTAACAAACTTATCATGTCAAAAAAATTTAATCCCAGGCTGTCAGTAAATGTTAAATGTAAAAAAAGTCCATCCATCAGAAAAATACTGAAAATGAAAATATATTTTCAAAAGTGTGCTTCGGATATTATCTCTTAATCATAAAAAAGTTTAAAAAATTCTATGAAGGTTTGACAAAGTATTTGATGTGTAACAAACTTTAACCCCAGACTGTATCTATTTGTTAAATGTAAAAAAAAAAAAAAACTAAGTCCATTCATTAGTAAAATAGGGAAAATGAAAATAAATATTTTCAAAATTTTGCTCTGGATACTGTATTATGGTCATAAACCAGCTTCTGTCCAAATTTCATCTAACTCCATGTAGGTTTGACAAAGTAATTCATGTAAAAAAAAGTAACCCAAGTCCATTTATCAGTAAAATACAGAATAAAACTGTTATCACAGAGATATGTCTCACCTTTTTGTAATTTTGATAATGCAAATGTTGAAATTAAAATAGCAATACTTTAACATGTAAGTTATGCAAATATTCAAAGTCGATGAACCATGACTGAAGGTACATGGCTAAACAATCTCCATGGAATGAGATGTGCCAATGCTAATACAACTGCATACCAAATACCATTGACTTATCATAAGTCGTTCCCTTTAAACAAACCTAAACACAAACATTAACTTGTAAACTGTAAAAGTTTCAAAGTCAATGAACCATGATCAGGGGTGGGGCTACATAATTTCCATGGAAACGATACTTGCAAATGCCAATAAATTTGCATATCAAATATCATTGACTTAACATTAGCAGTTCATCTTAAACTGATCTAATCACAAACTAATACATGTATACTAAGCAAAAGTTTCAAAGTAAATGGACCATGACTGAGGGGGTGGGGCCAAATATTCTCCATGGAAATGAGATGTGCTAATGCTTTATACAGCTGAATACCAATTAACATTGGCCTACCACTAATGGTTCCCCTTGAACTGACCTAATCACAAAATAATACATGTTAACTTAGCAAAATTTTCAAAGTCTATAGATCATGACTAAGGGGGCAGAGCCAAATAATCTCCATGGAAATGAGATATGCCAATGCTTATACAACTGCATACCAAATATCATTGACCTACCACTAGTGGTTCCCCATACATTGACCTTATCACAAACTAATACATGTAAACTATGAAAAGTTTCAAAGTCAATAGACCTTGACTGAGGGAGTGGGGCCAAATAATCTCCATGGTAATGGGATGTGCCAATGCTAATACAACTGCATACCAAATATCATTGACCTACCACTAGTGGTTCACCATGAACTAGACCTAATCACAAACTAATACATTGTTGACGCCGCCGCCGCCAGAAACAGCATACCTATGTCTCGCTTTTTGACTCCATCAAGGCGAGACAAAAATGAAAATAAATATTTTCAAAATTTTGCTCTCGATACTGTATTTGGTCATAAACAAAATTCTGTCTGAATTTCATCTAATTCCTTGTAGGTTTGACAAAGTTATTGATGTCCAAAAAAACTCTAACCACAAACTGAACCTAAATGTTGACACTGCGGCAGAATCTAGAAACGCTATGTCTCGCTTTCGTGAAATAAATTTTGCAGGCTCGACAAAAATGGGTTCAAGACAATGGTCACATGCCAAATAAAAACCATAAGACCATAAGCCAAGGCATCTGTACCAGATTTGGATTATCTGGCTCTTTCTCCATCTGTATAATGAAGTTTTATACAAAGACGCCCTTGCTGCCAGATGAGTATCTCTGTATTTGCATGTGACAGGCAGAACAAGAAATTAGATAATTTTAGCATTCTTGATCTATTCAAAGCATATGCAGCTAGGCAGGTAATCCGCAAGTCCAAAAAACAATTCTGTAAGATAACGCCTATAAAAAATCATGTGTCCCAAGTCTTGTTCAAACTAGCCAAAAAGATTCATGAAAATTTCTGAAAATTCTGAAAAGAATGATAGGATAGACACCATGTGCTGGTAATATAATCATCTGTGTCGTACCATCAACCACAGAAACCTCTTCCCCCTTCAGTTTTCAACTAGACTCAAATAAAATATAAGATAGGTTTTCTCAAATAAATTTTATTTACCAATAAATTATATTATTATCATGGATCATGATACAAAATACCAAAAAAAAACAAGACACAATCTGCTTCATCAGGTGTGTATAAATATCAAAGAAATCACAACTAGTAATTAGCTTTTTGCCACTGTTGTACATTATCTTTACATTTAAAAGGAGGAAAAGGATCTGGATCATTTGTTAGGTATCAGTAAGGAAATATCAAAATTATTCAAAATAATTGACAGTACTGTGGATTCTTTATAATTTCCTGGATACCAGTTCTCAGACTTTTTTTCTTAAATAGAAAATCATTTCTGTTTTAAAATACATGTATTAAATTTTGTTATTATAGTTTCTATTAAAGTGACTATTTTTCTTGCTCAATGCATATATGTAAGGCTTCCATTACTTAAAACCAAACTTTTACAAAAAAAAATATAGAATTCCATAAAATAAATGAATCCTCAATTTGTCTCATACTTTTAAAAAAGGCATTTCAAAAAAATTCTTATACAGAAGAAAACTGGTAAAAACTACAATAAAAAAAGATTTAAAAGTACATGAATCAAATTTATTTTTTGAGGTGTACTCAACTTATTTTCTGGGTAATTAAAATAAACTAAATATCTTGATCTGTGCAAAAATTATTAAATCACCAAGGAAATAGTTTACTGAATTTAATTCCTCATTTTTAACCCTAAGCTGTTATATTATATAGTTTCTTTACTTCAACCCAATTTCTAAGCAAATCTAATTTTTTATATCAAAGTGGTATATATATTTTTATTCAGTTTAGGGAACCAGTACTTTTTCCCAGGAAGGGGAGATAACAAGTACCAAGTTATCACTTCATAGTCTGATTTATCCACAAGAAAAGTGCAATAGTGAGCCAGTGTTTTATCTGTTTGCTCATCCATCTACAACTCTAACCCACATCTAAAGGATAAAATCGACTTTTCCTAAACTTTCAAATAATCTCAAGTATCTGTTGACATTGTGTACGATTTTTTTAATTTCTTAAGGTTCTCCAATTGAAGAATGGATTTTAACATTTGATTTCTTACATTTTATTACTGGTATTGAAGGATAGGATGGTTCAGCTGACATGAACATAGATTTTTGTAGCTGAAATGGCATCCATGAATCTTGCAATTTGGTAAATCTTCATGGTCTCAGCATCAGTAAAATGTATTCATTTTCTTTTTTAAAGAATAAAATTGTCAGATCTCATGATGTAAATAAATATTTTGTATTATAACCAAAATTTTCCACCCAAACTTTGTTTACGGTTTGGTATAACAAGATTTGACAATAAAAACAAATAAAATCACATAAAAACCACTAAAATAATATAAAAGCAGATAAAATACAAATCTTGCTATAGCAAAGCCTGATAAAATTTACTTGAAAATAACAGTGGTGATATAATAGTCAAAGTAGAATTTATTCTGAATTTTTGTTAATGTTATGAAAATTTTGTCATAATGAGATCCAACTAATAAAAACAAGATTAAAAACAATAAAAAAATATTACAACCAACCTATCATTCAAAAGATGAAATTGTTGCTTCCCAAGTTAATCAAAATATTTAAAGGGTCCATTCAATTCAATTAGGAACCCCAAAATTTCATTATAATGAAATGAAATACACAATGCCATTAGTTACAGAAGATAATCTGAAAATTTCAATGAAAATCTTTCAATAGTATATTAGATGTGGATGAGAGATGATGATGATGGACAAACAGACCGACAAATCTTCTTTAACAGCCCATTACATGCTCGCCTCGAGTGCAGAAGGTCATGGGATTTGATCCCAAGCTGGGTCAAACAGAAGAATTGATAATTGGTATTTGATGCTCCCCTGCAAAGCATGCAGCATTTAGGAGTAACAGCAAAGACTGGTCGGCTGGAAGTCAGAATAATGTGTCCCGGTATGGTGACATGTCTTCCTGTGGACTATTACATTTAAAAATCCAGCTCAGCGTGCTGGTCTAGTACAAAGCAGGGTCTATAATCTATATTCATATCACATTATCATGTTTTCATCCTGGAAAACTTTTTTAACAGGTTCCTGATTAATCTTACTTTTTAAGAAGTTGAGTACAATCCTCAAAAACAAACCTTAAAATATGAATAATAATTAATGAAAAAAAAAACATGAAAATAATCACATAAAAATGAAAAAATAAAACAAACTGCAAAAACTTAATTATTTTCCCTTGAGTGGCCTCAGATGTTGAATAATAAGTTTAAAATATATAAAAAAAGCCAATAAATAAAACTGACAGCCATTAATTTGTATAAATGTACAGAAAGTGGAATCAAACACAACCAACTAACCAAATATTTTTACTTTCAGTCACCAAGTTTATATTGCATCAAAAATTCTGTACTTTTTGTGTAACAGGGAATTTTTTATAGTCCCTTTAGAATTTGGCCATCAAAGTCCTACTTTATTGGTTTCTAACAGGCAAAATCAATTTCACAAAGCACTTGTAAGACTTACCTGTACATAACTTGAAAAAATATATGTAAACTGATGTATGTCTTATGGGTAATTTGTGAAACCATATGGCATACCTTCGGGACCCCTCAAATAACAATAATTTCACAGTTTTATTTTTCAACAATCACAATACTATAATTAAATGCAAGTAAAAAATACTGAAAAATTTGGATAACTCAATACAGCATAAAAAAAAAATGTAAACAATTCATTCTTCAGCTTACAAGACCACTGTCTACAGATTCTACTAAAATAGATAGCACTAGTTCATAGATGGTTTGCAGGATTATTGTCTGAGGATTCTACCATACAAGGGCAGCAACAGAAACACTTTCAACTGAAAAAGAAATGAAGATAAATTTCAATTGTCACTTCTTAATATCAAAATAATCTTAAGGGGTATAATAAAATTTGAGAGATTTTTCCAATAAAATTAACACAGCGGTGGATCCTGGATTTTCGAAAAGGGTGGCATAATTTTCTAAAACAGTACATAAACTGTCAGGCATAGCGAGGTGAAAATTCTTTTGGACAATTTTATCCTACAAAATCATATAATTCGTGAGAAACAGATTTTAATTAATTTTTTTGGCAATCAAAGGGGTTATCTCCCTTACCTGCTAATAGGGTAAAACATTTATCAATGAGAAATGAGGCAAAGATTGAATATAAGAAACTGACTGAGAAGGGACATATAAACCTGCTGTAATATAAATGTATCTGATCTACTCTGAAAGTAAAAGAAAAAGTAGACTGTATTGAAATCTATGATTTATCTATTATAATTGATATGGTTTGCTCCTGACCCTCTACGGATCCATAGAGGGTTAGTAAAATCCATAGGGGGTGAGGCTGAAGGCCAAATCCGCTACGGATTTTACTAACCATATAACAAATATATCACACACAGGACTTTTCTTGCCAAGTTTTGTACTAAGAATAAACATTAAGATTTAAATAGATGTCACCATTTATAGTAGATGTGACATCATGAACTCCATATGAAATCTACTGACCCCATAGGGATCCATAGGGATCACCATGTGATGGTGTTAAACCAATCATAACGTCACTAATTTACCTTAGGTGCAATAAAAATATTTAGAGTCATACACCATAACATAACATTAATAAAATTAAGTTGTATGCAGATGAATAAATTCTCACCTTAAAACAGCTCTAATTACTACCCATCAAGTAACCCTATGGAAACATGATGCTAACCTGGAATAAAAAGTTGGTTAGTTATTCTAAAATCTTTCAAAAAAAATCTTTACATCTTAAATATTTAAAATAGTACTTGGGTAACAACAAATATTCATGGGAAAAAATATTTGGTATTCAACAAATTCATAGCTTAAATTTTGAAAATTAAAAAAAAATCAAGATATATTCCATTATATTGGACCACTTCATATATGCAGAGCAATTGGAATTCATTTTTTACCTGGGAGTGGGGGCTTGTCAAAATGTAGGGGGGATCAAGTTTTTTTCTGTAAGTGGAAAAGGGGGGTTCAATTTTTTTTATAAATTCAAAGTGGGGGATCAATTTTATCTCAAATGAAACATTTGTGAACTTTTGAATCTTCAACTATATCATACATATCATGTGTGTCAAAGGTAAGTGTTTTGCATGTTAAAATTTTGGCATGTTTAATAGAGGTTGGATCACATTCTTTTAAAATGTTTTTAGGGGGGGGGGGGGGGGGGGGTAAAATAAAAATAGTGAAATATTATGGGGGGGGGGGGGGTCAGGAAAATTTATGTGTGTGATTTCAAAATGACCAGCCCCCCTCCTAGGTAAAAAATGATTAGTCCCTAAACAAAGTATACTCATTATTCATTATAATTAATGTTTTTGTACTTAATGTAATTGATCATAATTGATGTCACAGACTTTTTAAATCATTCCAAAAACCTTCAATACCTACCAACATGTTAACAGTATGAGATATCCAAGTCTTACTCCCAACACCATGAACACATTGTTATTACAACCTGAAAAAAAAGAGTAAATATGTATGTTCAAAGACACTTTAACATAATCATGCTGTGTTTTATTTCATATAATATTGTTGTTTATTATCATCTCCAATACATAAACTTGATATCAAAGGAAGAAAACAAATATATACATCTAAAACAAATGAGTGTGGTTATTCTCCCCCACACAAAGCATTGCAGGGGACAATAGAAATACCGGGCATCCATCCGTCCGTCTGTGCATCTTTGGAAATATTAATTATATGAAAAATTGTACTGTTAGCACTCTCATGTGTACAATCCTTGCCAGATTTTTATCAAATCTATATCAAAACTTTATATCAGCAATGTCTCAAATTTGAAAATCAGTGCCAACCAAATTTTTTTAAGTGTTATACCCTTAGGAAATATTAATTATATTGGAAATTGCAATGTATTTGCTCTAAATCCTTCATTTCTCCAAGATATTTGTAAAAAGTTTTAAAGAACAAAAATTTTTTTTTTCAATCATTGCCCTTGGATCGATCTAATACCCGTATGTACAACACAGAGGACAATGGAACGCTGTTCTTTTATTATGCTAATAACAAAAATTCTTGAGGGTTCCGCAGAACCCAGTGTCTCGCCTACTTTTGCTGTTAATTGCAGGCTCAACAAAAATGAGATGAGGAAAATTTAATAAAAATATTCCTCTCGATACAATTTTTTTATTATAAGAAGCTTCTGTCCAAGTTTGGTAAAAATCCAGGATAGTTTATGAATCTAATAAATGTTTTAAAAAATTTAACTGCAGGCTGTATGTAATGTTTCCTGGCAGAAAAACTAAGTCCATTTATAAGTAAAAAACATAAAAACGTTTTTTTTTTTTTTTTTTTAAATTTACTTCTGGATACTATCTTATGATCATAAACAAGCTTCTGTCCAAGTTTGGTAGAAATCCAGGATAGTGAGAAAGTTATTAAAATTTTAAAAACTTTAACCACAGAGTGAATGTAATGTTTCCTGGCAGAAAAACGAAGTCCATTTATAAGTAAAATACGGAAAAACAGGAATTTTTTTTTTACAAAATTTACTTCTGGATACTATCTTATGATCATAAAAAAGCTTCTGTCCAAGTTTGGTAGAAATTCAGGATAGTTTGAGAAAGTTATTAAAATTTCAAAAACTTTAACCACAGAGTGAATATTTGTGGACGCCGCCGCCGCCGGAGTGTAGGATCGCTATGTCTCGCTTTTTCGACAAAAGTCGAAGGCTCGACAAAAATATGTTGTGATGTAGATACCACAAAATCAAACTTTGACAGAAAAGACCCAGTAAGAAAAAAAAACAATTTTAAATGCCTATAATATTATTATTACAATAACTTACAACATATTTTACTTGATAAAGCCTCAGACATGGTTGAAGATTTATTTGACCATCTTCCTTAAAGCTGCTTTCCCGGCTGCCAAGGTGGCTTTCCTCATTGTCCTAATGTCAATTTTTTTTGTCCTATTGTTTTAGAAGTAAAGTTATATATATACAAAATATCAGATGCACTTTCAATTAATCACCTTTTTTGAAAATTTCACCAAATAATTTGAAGTGACCCATAATTTCTCCCACCCTACATATATATTATCTAGAGCTCTGCTTACATTATTTTTTATTTACAGAGCTCTAAATAATGGTCCATATTAGCTGCTATACATCTGATATTTAAACAAATGTGAATAATCATACAAATAAAATTCTATATTCCTTATCATTGAGAAAATTTCAAGAATGAGGAGTTAAACAGGGGTATAATAAATTACCTCCCTTTGACATAAATTTCACACTGCTAGGACTCCACATCCTTGCTATATATACACATATACAAAATAAAATATAATTAAAAAAAAATCATTTGATAACAAAAATCCAACACATTCCAATAACATATTTAGTACTTTTATTTTCAACTAGGGCCTTGGTGGCAAAGTGGTCTAAGTAGTTTAACTACTGTATCACTTAAGCCTGTCAACACTGAGGCTGTGAGTTAGAACAATGCATGTGGTAGGGGAGTTTTACTCCAATCTTAATTGACTAGGAATGGTATTTTTTCTGCAGGTCAGTTTTTCTCCAGACACTCTGGACTCCTCAACCAATAAAATTTTGCAGCCAAGATATAGCCCATTGTGCTAAATGTGGTGTTAAAAACCAAAAATCAACCAATCAATCTATTTTTACCAAGATGCTCGTCAACTCGGCAAAATATTCTTAAGTTTTTATGCTTATAGTTTCAAACTCAGCTAAGAAAAACCCAAAAAGTTGGAAAAGATATATATCAGTCTAACAATTGGGAAACCCAAAAAATACATTTCAATAAAATAACATTAGTTTTTTTTCGTATTTTTTTTTTTTTTTTTTTTAGATTCTCCATTCTTAACCTACTGGAAGTGTTATGACTAAACACTGACCATTATCAATATATCTAAAGTAGGTCTTTATTTAAAATTGGTCTTTTTAACTTCATTGTCAAAGTTTGAATTAAATCTAGTCACAGGGGAAAAAAATAATGAATTCGATCTGAACTATGAACTCATTATTACAAAACTACATGCCAAAAACCAATTCAGTATCCATAAGCATGACAAAATAAATGTCAAGACAATAATGGACACGAGTAGAGATACAAGAATATAGCCATGGGTTTTAATGGTCAAAAGAAAGAGAACTTTTGAAATTTCAAATACAAGTTATAACCTTCAACTTCCAATTGTTCTTGTTGAAAATGGAGAATCTTTACACATTTTCTTTTTCTTTTATTGTAAAAAATTACAAACGTTTTCTCAAACATACACAAAAATTGTCTGAATTACATTAATCACTGTTATATCACACAACCATATCATGCAGCCGCAGTAAAAGTTACCTGAAATAGAAATATACATTCTTAAACATATCTGTCAATACTATTTGAAAATTGAAACGATATTCAAGGCATAAGAATACATACCTGCCAACCCTCCCGTTTTGAGCGGGAGTCTTCCGTGCAAACGACGAAATTCCGGAAATCTCCCGCTTTCGGATATTTTGACCTGGAATAACCCGCATTCGTAATTCTCTGGATTTTTCATCACTTTCAATAGAAATAAATAAACAATCGGCGATCATTTGAGGTCTTTGTCTGGACCAAGCGGCAGTTTAAAAAAGAAGAAATAGATAACTGCAAATCTAAATGTCAAGCAGATTTGAATGAAAGATTTTCAATTTTTACTGCCAAGTTCACTTGGCAATGAATCTTTCTGCATATCATGTGCAATCAACTTTTTGATTTCTTCTGGTGGTCTCTACGATGTTTGAAAGCATGCTTTGTGTGAGACTCACAACAAAATCAAAATATGGAATGTTATGAGTTATGAAACTCAGAGGAATTGAAAAAGGCTAAAAAATAACACCTTGTATAGATTATAACCATGAATTGAAGAAATAAAGTATATTTATTAACTCTTATTGGTGTTTTGTAGATGAATAGGTAAACACGTCATATATTTAACTTGAAAATGTCGTTCGCGCAAAATTTCCCTCTCAGCTGTCATAGCTGAGGGGGAGATCTCCTTCTTTGACAGTTTCAGAGGTTGGCAGGTATGAGAATAATTAAACAGGCATTACAATTATGATACATATAGCATTTCTTTTGCTTTGTTTAAAGTGATTTGTTGGCATAAATTTTAAACTACCAGTCTTTATTAGCAAAAAAAGATGAAAAAACATAAGGCTGTTTGTTTTCTTGTGTGAATTATTTCATGTTTTGTCACGTTGGAAACTTTTATAGTTAACTGTACAGTATAAGTTGTGTTCATTGTTGAAGGCCACAAGGTGACCTTTAGTTGCTTACATCCATGTCATTTGGTCTCTGGTTGATAGTCGTCTCATGGGCAATCATACACCATCTCTTTATTTTTAGATATATATATACATGTAATATATATATCATAAACTTAAGAAAACTTTAAAATGTAAGATCTACATCTGTGCATAATTAAAAATTTAGGGCATTTACATGGTCTAAATGAAGACATTGTAGTTCATAAATCTTAAGCATTGGTTCTTACCAAAAATGTCAGCTCCAATGGCCCTTCCCAGCCTCAATCCTTACGGACAAGCTGCGAAGCCAACCTGAAATACAAAATGCTTAGTCATTCAAAATTGTTTAAAAAGATCAGTGTTGGTATACTGTATGTATATTAAATAGATATGGGTTATATATAAATGTAATAGATGTTGAGAATATATCAATAAGACAGCAATCAATCAACCCAACAAAATTTTACATAATTAATTCAGATCCTTTTACTCACATAATGGTACTGATAAAATAAAAAGAGAATTCTGACCAAACTCTTATATAAACCTTTAAGCCTAGATCACATATTTCCAAATAATTTTTATAATACTTTTTTTTTCATAACAGGAATAACATGCTGGTACCTACCTACGTATTAGCTGTATAAGACCACCAAGTCTTATTGCCACACCATGAAAACATGTCACAGAAATAACCTAAAATGAAATTAAAAATTGACACATTATATATTTTACAAATCCATTTCTCTGTCAACCTAAAATTTACTAAACATTGTTCTGATTTCTTACTACATTGGCATAATAGCATAACATCAACACCAGTTAGAAAAATAATCTAAAACTGTTGACACAGAAATATGTTTCGCCTGTCGGCATAAAATTCAGAAAAAGTCAATCTAATGGACATCAACATTGCTAATTAACTCAAAGTAGCTGGACTAACTAGTAGGTAGAGCCTCGAAATGGTTGACAAACTGAGATGTACAGACATCAATGTAACTTTATAGAAAATATTGTATATTGTAAGTAGTTCCTATCAAACTAACTAAATCAGAAAACTTTGAAAATTGTTAATTGATTGAAAGTCACTGGACCATAACCTAGGGGGCAGGTCCTTGAAACAGTCGTCAAACTGATATGTTCTGATAGTAATGCAACTTTATAGAAAATATCATTGATCTATAGGAAGTAGTTCATATCAAACTAATTTAGCAGAAAACTGATTGAAAATTGCTAATTAATTGGAAGTCACTGAACCATAGCCTAGGGGCCAGGGCCTGAAAATAGTCATCAAACTGATATGCACTGATAGCAATGCAACTTCAAACAAAACATCATCGATCTATCTCCAGTAGTTCAGATCAATCTAACAAAGTAGACAACTTAACATTTAAAATGGCTAATTTATTCAAAGTCACTGGACCATGGCCTAGTGGGCAGGGCCTGAAAATTGTCGTTAAACTGATATGTACTGATAGATCATTGATATTTTGTATGAAGATTCATTACTATCACAAGTAGTTCCTATCAAACTAACTTGAGCAGAAAACTTAATTGTTAACACCGTCACTGCAGCCGTTGTCTTTGCCGGAAAAGCAATCCCTATGTCTCGTTTTCCGTGACTTTCATCGCAGGTGAGACAAAAATGGAAAAACAGAAAAAAAGTCAACAAAAGGTTTGTGATTTGACTTTCAACTGGACAAAAATCATCTGCACATTTTATAATAGAGTTTTCTCCCATTGAATAAACAAATCTTGCTGTTATTTGTACTGGTCTCCCCTTGAAGTTGTATTCCTCTCTCTGTATTTACTATTGCTAATTAGAAAATCTTGTTCATGTACCTGGTAACTTAAAATTAAAAACTGGTAAATTAATTCAATGGTGATTTGCATGCTAACGATAGAATGCAACGTTATCCAACATTTCTAGAGAATGTATAGTTATTGTTTGGATGAAATAAACTTGCCTTATTATTTTCTTGGTAAAGCCTCAGACTTGGTTGAGATTTAGTTAACCATCTTCCAAGGAGCTGCTCTCCTGGCTGCCAAGGTTGATGTCCTCATCTTATTGTTGAACTATTTTTTGTCAATTAGTTTTTAAAAATAAAGTTCTATGTATAAAAAATATCAGATGCACTTTCAACGAATAACCTTTTTGAAAAAAAAGTTTCCCTAATCATTTCTAGGGACCCATGATTTCTCCCACCCCGCATATCTATTATCTAGAGCTCTGTTTATATTTTTTTTAATTACAGAGCTCCAAATAATAGTCTGTATTAGCTAGTTTACATCCGATATGAAAAAATAAATTATACAAACATAAATATCTAAGTAAAATAAAAGCTAACACTGAGGGAGTTTCAAGAATAAGGAGTTAAACAGGGGTTTAATAAATTACCTCCCTTTGACCTAAATTTCACCCTGTTAGGACTCCACTTCATTGCTATATTTTACAAAAATTAGTAAAATTAAAATTAAAAAAATAATTAAAAAAAAAAAATCACATTTTAATAACATATTACATCAATTTTCACCTAGGTGGTCTTAGTGGCAGAGTGGTCTAAGTAGTTCAACTACCGGTACTTTATCAGCAGCCTGTTAATACTGAGGTTGAGAGTTCAAACCCAGTATGGGGTAGATGCCTTCAGTACCCGAGTCTACTCAAATCTTAATTGACTAGGATTGCCAGTTTTCCTGCCTAAATTTAGTGGTTCTCTCCTGTTACTCGACCAACCAATAAAAAAAATGGTCATCATAATAATAACAAATCATGCTGAATGGTATTTCACAACAAAAATCGACCAATCAATCTTTTTTTTTTACCAAGATATTCCTTTACTATGCTTCTAGTGAAATAATTGTTTTGAGCT